TCTGTCATAGTTGTCCCATGGCTACTAAATGTGCAATGAGTTGAGATAGTAGCACACAGAGCACTGATGTAAAAAAAACTCATATTACGTCGTTGGCTACTTCCAATATGGTTTCTAAGTCTTCAGAAGGTGACTCCCTGTGAGTAAATGACCTTTAAACATTCTAGCCTGGGAGAAGGGACTATCTGTCTTAGGAAATATCTTTCTTTGCTGCTGTTGAAGAGATAAGAGGGTTTCATTGTCTACCCCCCAAGTAAGTATCAACCCCATTTCTACCAGTTCTTAACTCTGATAATGTCTAGTCCAAACTTTAATTTTACAGACAATGAGTATGACTAGATCACAAAATATACAAGTGACAGAGCCAGGACCTAAGCTCAGCCTTTAGACTTCAAATCCACTGTTCTTTATTCCCCACAAGACTGGTAAAATCTGCTCAGTAGAGCTACGCAATCAACGTTGCCTTGTTTAAAAATTTTAGAAGTATGAGCTACTATGCATCTGTTGTTTTATATAGATGAAATGGTAAAATATAGATGAAATGGTAAAAAGTGAAGGAATCCAGTTTTTTAAAAATAAACATAAAAACTCTAAAAAATAGAAAATGTCATATTTGACAGGGGAAATATTTCAAGAAAAGTTAAATAATTTTTGTTCAAACCAATAAACCTGTACTAATTACATTAGACAATGAATCCTCCCTTTGGAATTAGCCTTTAGATTTCTGGCAATTGTTTCTTATCTACAGACAAACACAAAGATATATTATCACTAATGGCTACAGCTGTGACAATATAACATTACTTTAAAAATCTTCTGCTAGCAGTAAACTAAAAAAAAAAAAAAAGAGAGAGAGAACTTAATTATCCACAAAAGACTTGTGAATCAGTATGAATTCTTTGAGTTATCAGAGACAGAGTATAAATTTTATTCTCCAAGAAAAAGGAGAGAAGTAAAGGTTTCAAAAATACCCTTCCTTAAATTTTAGTTAAGAATTAAACACATATTATAATTGCTTCCTGCAATGTTTACTGATTATTTAATCTACAAAATTATGTTCTATTGTCCAAAATAGAGCAGTACTTTTTTTTTTTTTATGACTTCGGCAAAGGCCCAAGTTGTGTGAGTTTCAGAAGCAAAGAATAGTGTGTCTTTCCAATCATATGACACTTGAGTACAAATCCCCTCAGCCTGTTCCTCTTTCTTTTCCTTCCCCTGGCTCCTCCTCCTTCTCTTGTTTTGGTTCTTCTGATTTTTCTTGTTGTTTTTCTTCTTTCTTCTCCTTCTCCTCTCTCTGTGTGCCTCAGTTTCTGTATCTCTCTGCTCCTGAAACTTGTTTCTCATCACTGTGTGTGGGTATGTGTAATCCATCTTCTTTACTTCTTTAATCTCTCTTCCTTATTTCCAAAAACTCCACTGGGAACTAATAATGAAACTCTTTTCTAGTAGATACATAGAACCATCTCAAATGTAAGTTAAATTCTTCTCATTTGATGACTCTGCCTGAAAGTTGCACATTGTTCTTGTTCTGTTACTACTTGAACTTGGACATATTTCTTCCTTTCTCTGGCACTCAGTTTTCTCTCCAGGAAAATTAGGAGGTTTAAAACAGATTATTTCTATGGTCACTCTATGGCCAGAGTCACATTTTAAGAATCCGTGTGGAACCCTGATTACGTTATCTTCAAGCAACTGTAGACTAATCTCTTTTCTATTTACTCCATCTATTTCTGCCCCTCTGTTCCTCTTTTTCTGCCTTCTTTTGGCGTAATCAAATATATATATAGAGAGAAATAATTATTTCTATACTGACTTTTTAGTTATTCTTCTTTATATTAATGTATAGTCATTTCTCAAGAGAATACAATATGCATCCTAAATATCTTATTCTAGTTAATGCTAATACGTAAGAATATTCCTTTTGCCATTGTTGTGAAACATAAACCCCACAATATAATGTTATAAGTTTTCTTTAAATTGCACTAGGTCTGTTATTGCCTCTTTGTGTTTTCTCCTTGCCAGTTATGGTCAATCCCAGGCAGCAACCAGGCCTCTTAAACTTTAGTTTCCAATGGAAGTTCTATAACAGGGGTCAGTGGACTTTTGCTGTAAAGGGACAGATGTCTCCATTGCAATTACTCAGCTCTGTCATTGTACTATGAAAGCAGCCATCCCAGTTGCCACTAAGCTGACTCCAACTCAAGGTGACCCTATGTGTGTCAGAGTAGAACTGTGCTCCATAGAAAGTAGAAAGCAGCCATAAATAATACCTAAGCAAATGAGTGTGACTATGTTTCAATAAAAACACAGTATTTACAAAAAGAGGCAGCAGGCTGGATTTTACTTGCAGACCATAGTTTGCTGACCCCTGGTCTACACCATTGATGGCAAACAGTAAAGGTTTGTGTTTGTTACCTGTAATTTGAAATCCTTAGAGCTCTGAAAACCATATGTTTTTCATAACTCACCTGCAGCAAAACACGACCTGATTTGAATTTACCTGGTGACAAAACCTGGCCCAATTTATAGTCTATCAATCACACTTTTCATGTATGTTGCTGCAGAAATATTAATGTGTTATTGAAAGAGTGTTACATCACACTATAAACTATATAACTTTTTCTAAATTCAAAAATTCTGAATTCTGTAGCATACCTAGCACCAAGGGTTTCATTAAAGGATTATGGACCAATAGTTGTCTAATCAGGTGTGGGTTTAAAAACAATGATGAAAATTTACTCTCCAACAATCTCAAGTGCATGCATCAAAGTCAGTTGTCCCCACTCCCAGCTTCCTGCTTAGATCTTCCTCTTATGATTGTCATTCTAGAAGAATCTCTAGTGACCCTGGTTCCTCTCCCAGCTGGGAATGTCTCTGATCCAAATGAGCAGTTAGTTTTACTCCCCAGAAATAATAACATACTGCCTACAAATACATTTCTCAGAAAACAGTGGCTTTTTAAATTTTGATCCTAGTTGTTTGATTAATTGACATGCTATTGTATAAAGTTAGAAGTTGAAGGCCAGGAGTCTGAGTTAGAATCTTCATCCTATCATTTACTAGACAATGTCTTTGGGCAAATTATTGTTTAACCATTAAAAGCTTCAGTTTCTTCATCTGGAAAAGGGAATAATATGAGGCTGACTCTAATAATTTATTAATGGGTTAATGTAATGCCCATTCTTCATAGAATGGATAGTCTCTCGTCAACTGTGAATTACCAAAAATTGTTTGCAAAATATTCTGTATAAATGTTCTGGAGAGAAAAATCTATGAATTTCATCTAAGTCTTAAAGGGAGTCATGTTACAATAAAAGGTTAAGAATCAGTATCCTAAAAGTACTCCACTGCAACATATTTGGGAGATCATGGGCAAGACAGTGATGTTCTACGTGATTCTTTAAGGTTTTCCAATGGAAAAGACCATAGCCATCTGAGACACTTCACTACTACTTCAGTTGTAGAACTGGCTTGGGTACATGACATTAAACCTCTTTGAACTGGTGGAGCTGCAATCGTTAAAGCAAGCCTCAAGTTGATTATAAACCCATGTGCACATATCAGAACCTAGGTCTTGTCCTAAGTAAAAACAGTTCATTCGTCAATCTGCCCTGAGAAGCCTTACAACAAACACAATGTTTTCTTTGGCCTTGAAAAAATACTTGCATTTCCATGGATACATTGAAAAGCCAAAAAGTAGAAAACCACATGTGAAAAATTACCTTATCCTGGCAAACAGCCTGACTGTAGCAAGATTCTTCAAGCCTCTAGAGATCTAGCTCTCATCTTGGCAGTAAGACCTGAAACCAGCTGACACGTAGAAGTCCAGCATGTACAATGGTAGAAATCGTATGAGGGACCAACTCCAGCTCACCTCATGAATACAGAAGTTCCCTAAATCAAGATTGCTAATAGGCTGTGTGGGCACTTGGAATGTGAGTTGTGGAGAGAGACTCATGAGACCTACTCTTGGCAGGGTCAACTGCAAACAGTGTACAGACACCCTCTCCAAGCAGTACAGCCCAGCTGAGAAATAACAGTTGTCAGACATAAGCTGTGCTGGAATAGCACTTGGGGTTTTACAGTGGGAGCCCATAGGACTCTGACTGCTCTGATGCATAAACTCAGGATGTCCTTTCAATGATATCATCCTCCCTGGATTAAAACTTCCATCTGTAAGATTAATGTAGGAATGGAGCATGAGTTAGAATGTGAATATTGTTAAGTTTCTAGGTATCTGGAGACTTCCCTGGAGGCTGACCTACAATTATGAGTAAGTTCATTTTTCTCAGGCTCTTCTCTATAAAGAATAAAAGGTGAAATTTCAGAGAAAAGGGCAATTTAGTCCTCAAGAAGAGAGAAAGTGTTCCAGCTGGAGGGTAATAACTCACTGTAGGTAGAACAAAAATATGTAAGTACCTCAACCCTATTTCTGGAGTGACAGAAATTTAATTGTTCTTGTTTCAGAATAGTTCTGTGATCCACGAAGAAAACAGAATACAAGGAATAACCTGGAAAACATGTATGGAAAAACCATCCTGCTGGCTTTTGACTATCTGTGATAACGTTAAGTCTCCTGCTTTTAAGTTTAGGTCCCTGAAATGTACCAGTGATTCCCAAACCACATTTTGGCTATTAGCATCAATATTTTTCCTCACCCCAAGAAATTGGGACTTCTCTCTGTTTTTGCTCACTTTGTTATGTCAATGTTACCTTACACAGCCAGGATGCCTAGATAACCACAAAGGATAGAAACATGTGCCGTAGGAGCAAAAAAACAAAACCCAAACCGTTGCCATCAAGTTGATTCTGACTCATAGCAACGCTATAGGACAGAGTAGAATTGCCCCATAGGGTTTCCAAGGAGTGGCTGGTGGATTCAAACTGCTGACCTTTTGGTTAGCAGATGAGGTCTTCACCACTGTGCTACCAGAGCTCCTTAAGATCAAGAGTTGAGTGTTATTCAGGCTCTGTTGTCTACAGGAGAACTATAACAATACCTTCCTGGGGAGTCTCCATTCTCATCAAATAGGATCATATCTCCAGAAACACCAGTAAAATTGGTTTTCATCAAGGAGTCCAAAAGTTTCCGCCCATCAATTGGTTTCATTGCATCGCAGAGGCCCGCGTAGCCTGGGCAGAGGGACATCTGCATGTTGTGAAGCCCATAGGCCATGGAGTAGATTGCGTTGATCACAAATCCCATTTTGGAATCTTGAACATGATGTGTTCTCAGAGTCAGAGAACCTGTTGGGAAACACATTAGGGATTAGCGTTGAGATTTAATTCTACTGTAGCTAAACCCATGGACCCTAAAAAGTTAGAGAATGCACTGGAACAAGTTATCATAGAATAAGAGGCAATTCTCAGATAAAATTCTAATATATGGTGTGCCCAATAAATGTCTTTTATATCCAGGTTTTTCTCTGTAACTTTGAAGAAAGACTAAAATCACCAACAGTAGCAAGATTCATTGAACTCTGGGTATGGATACAGATGGAACTGAATTTCTGTACCACAAAATTTATCCTAAGGAGAGAATAATTGCCCTAATGCTTTGCTCTGACAATGCACCTCTTTGGCTAAAAAAATACTCAGTGAATCCTCAGTTTTCAAACTATGAAGTCCTCCTAGCCAAGCAAACTAATCTCTCCAGTATCTGACTTCAGTTTATCTGTTAAGAGTAATTACCCACCATTTCCCATCTCAAAGCATAAACCAGCATATTTGGTAGTTCTGAAATATAATTTAAGTGTTTAAACTCTTTAAGTCATTAAATAATTTGATAAACATTTATTGGTGGCTAAGTATACATAAAGCTGTGTTATTGACAATCTGGGAAAATACAAATATGAAACGGACATGGATTTTGCACTTAAAAAACTTGTCTAATAACAGAGATAAATTATGTAACCACAGTGAAAGGTAAAAAGGTGATATGAGTTAAAAATCTATAGAGGCCCAAAGGAGGGAGAGATCCCTTACAAACTGGAAGTCGTTTGGGACATATCATTAAAGAACTTCTTGTTGTTAGGTTCCATCCACTCAGTTCCAACTCATAGTGAACAAAATCACTGCCCAGTCCTGCGCCAACCTCACATTCATTATGCTTGAGCCCATTGTTGCAGCCACTGTGTCAGTCCATCTCCTTGAAGGTCTTCCTCTTTTTTGCTGACCCTCTACTTTATCAAGCATGATGTCCTCCTCCAGGGACTGATCCCTCCTGATAACATGTCCAAAGTATGTGAGATGCATTCTTTCCATCCTTGCTTCTAAGAAGCATTCTGGTGGTACATCTTCCAAGACAGATTTGTTCATTATTCAATATTCTTTGCCAACACCATAATTCAAAGGCATCAATGCTTCTTCCGTCTTCCTTATTCATTGTCTAGCTTTTGCATGCATATGAGGTGACTGAAAACACCATGGCTTGGGTCAGGTGCACCTTAGTCTTCAAGGTGACATCTTTGCTTTCTCACACTTTAAAGACGTCTTTTGCAGCCAATTTGCCCAATGCAATGCGTCTTTTGATTTCTTGACTGCTGCTTCCGTGGGTGTTGATTGTGGATCCAAGTAAAATAAAATCCTTGACAACTTCAAACTTTTCTCTTTTTATCATGATGTTGCTTATTGGTCCAGTTGTGAGGACTTTTGTTTTCTTTATGTTGAGGTGTAATCCATACTGAAGGCTGTGATCTTTGATCTTCATCAGTAAATGCTTTAAGTCCTCTTCACTTTCAACAAGCAAGGTTATGTCATCTGCATATCACAGGTTGTTAATTAGTCTTCCTCCAATCCTGATGCTGAGTTCTTCTTCATATAGTCTAGCTTCTCGGATTGTTTCTTCAGCATACAGATTCAATAAGTATGGTGAAAGGATACAACCCCGACAAATACCTTTCCTGACTTTAAACCATGCAGTATCACCTTGTTCTGTTTGAATGGAACGATTGCCTCTTGATTCATGTACAGTTTCCTCATGATCACAATTAAGTGTTCTGGGATTCCCATTCTTCACAATGTTATCCATAATTTGTTATGATCCACACAATTGAATGCCTTTGCATAGTCAATAAAACACAGGTAAACATCTTTCTGGTATTCTATGCTTTCAGCCAGGATCCATCTGATATCAGCAATGATATCCCACATTCCATGTCCTCTTCTGAATCTGGCTTGAATTTCTGGCAGTTTCCTGTGGATATACTGCTGCAGATGCTTTTGAATGATCTTTAGCAAGATTTTACTTGCATGTGATATTAATGGTATTGTTCCATAATTTCCTTATTTGGATGGATCACCTTTCTTGGGAATAGACATAAATATGTATCTCTTCCAGTTGGTTGGCCAGGTAGCAGTCTTCCAAATTTCTTGGCATAGACAAGTGAGCACTTCTTTTTGGTATAGTGACTCTGTGTGTGCCTTCCATCTTCTTTTGATGGTTCCTGCGTCATTTAATATTTTCCCCATAGACTCCTTCACTATCGCAAGTCAAAGCTTGAATTTATTTATTTATTTAATTGTACTTCAGGTGAAGGCTTACAGAACAAATAGTTCTCATGCAACAGAAGTACACATGTTGTTTTATAACATTGGTTAACAACCCCACAACATATCAACCCTCTAACTTCTCAACCTCTTTTTTTGTTTGGTGAAAATAAACATAGCCAAAGATACAACATTTCAAAAATTTCTACATGCACAGTTCAGTGACATTGACTACACTCTTCCAATTGTGCTGTTATTCTCACTTAAG